GTTGATTGATTCGATTCAAGATTAGTATGAGATTTTCTAAATAATTTTTTTTTCGGAGATTAGATCATCAAATAATTCTAATAAAGAAAACATACAAAGAGCTCTCAACTGCTGTTTCATAATTTGTTCGAAGATGACATAGTAATGATTGACGAATTCTATATAAATAAATATTTAATGTTTTTCGGATACTTTCATAAATAATTCACCGTTCTGTATTATCAACATGGCGTCTCTGTAATTTTCTAATTCGTCGACGAGAAAAATATTTTGGAAAAATAGCTTGAATAGCACCTTTTGTCTAGATTTCTTGAATAAGGATATTCATTTTTTTTATTGTTTTCTTAAAACTACCGTTTGTTTATAGAGCCATGAAAGTGAGATAAGTTTTGGCTTAGTATCTTCAAATGAATTTAATTTCATAAACGGCATTCCTGTTTCAATAGTCCATAAGATAATATCACCATCATAACTAGCTAAAAATTTCATAGAATAGTAATTAAAGTGGTTTTAAATGTATATATATATTTCTTGATACCCGTAGCCAGAATATTCATTACCATATTCATTGATAAAATATCATCGTTATGCAGCGAACGAAATTCATCGACTATGTAAACGAAAAAAAGAATGTGAGTGTGGCGTTTTTATTTGCACCCACACTCTTAACATATCACACTGAAAATTAATACAAACCTTGTCGAATAACAACTGATTTACCCAAATGAAATACTCGAATACGTCTTGACCAACCAGCAACAAATAAACGTTCATTTTCATGTAATAATGCTGTGATTTCTTTTGCATGTATTCCATTTGAATTAATACGATAAAGATTATGTCCATTATTAAAATTCCATAATGCTAATGAACCATCATGTGCACCTGTTATTAAACGACGTTTAGTTTCATCTAAACACATAGCTGTTATTTCAACAGCATGTTCATTATATTCATCAAATTGTGTAACATGTGCATTTAATATATGCATTATTTTTTCACCAGTTACTATATTCCATATATTCACAGTTGAACTTTCATCTGATGATATGATAACATCAAATAGAGGATTATATAGTATTTGTGTTATAGGATAAAAATGTGATGTTCGTTCATTGTGTGTATATAATTCATTGGTATGTGATAATGAAAGAAGTTTTCTATTACCAATAATTAAATTTTGTTGAATTGGATTTAAGTAACATATTGTTAAATCTTGTTCAGATAGATCAAGAATTGTATGTGATATACGTTGTATCATTTTTAATGTTTGTACATCCCAGATAATAATATCTAAATTAGTTTATAGGGTATTTTTATTATTAGTTTGAATAATACAAATGTAAATCTTACTTTTTCCTTTATCAATACTGATGACATGAGCTTCTCGATTATCAACAACTAGATGAGTAATAGAAGAATTATGTCCGCGTAAAATAGCTGCTGCTCGTTCTGTAACAAATGGATCCCAAAAACGAATGATACCATCAATACCACCAGTGACGATCGATCGATGCGCCTTTTCAATGAAACAAAAAAAATGATGCATATGTAATTATTACGTATATTAAACATCTGAATATTGCCATTATAATATCTACTTAGATGTTAGGAGAGAGATGTTAATATGAGGGTTTGGAAATAAAACGAACCCTTTCATCCACACGCTCGTGCACATCTTACGGGATTCTCTGAAAGATATAAGGAACGAATTAGTTCAGTTTACTAATATATATATAATTGTTATACAGGTTATATCAAGAGGGAACAAACTGATTTCTTGATTTCTAATTTCATTTTCGTGATTTCTCATGATTTCCTATGATTTCTTGTGATTTCTAGTATGGAAATCAATTAGGAATATGTGTGAGTGAGGGTCTGGATGCGGGTGAGTGTTGGTATGACTGGGTAGGTGTCTGTGTCCGCGTCCCGATAGATACTGTATTTACCTGACACCCACACCCATCCACATTTACACTCACGCCTACGCCCTTTTGATTTCTTTTTAATTTCCCATGATTTCTTTGAGTTCTCGTGATTTCTAGTATGGAAATCAGTTTGTTCCCCCTTGTTAAAAATGCAAAAACAATCATCATACCGTACAATAATCAAACACTCCAAAACCTTTTTTTGCCATTGCATATTTTTCTGTTTTTTTATGTAAATCTCCAATATATAAACTTCTATTCGATGTTAATGCACATGATACAAATAAATCAAGATCATTAATCCATTTAATTTGTACAATGCAATCATAATGTAAATTACAAAATTTAATTACTGATATTGTTAAATATTCATTATTAATAATTCGTGGAAATGAATAATATCTAATTGATTCTGATTTCATATGATGTATTGTATCAGATATATGAAACATTGGTTTATATTGATCTTTAGCTTGAAAAATAAATAAATTTCCTAATGAATCTCCACAAAAAATTGCGGATTGAAATGAATTTTTTATATTCATTCGATATGAAATTGTACTTAAACTAGCTGGAAAATGATTAATTATAATAGAACCTGTATAGATATGTGAATTAATATCATAAAAAATTAGATCACGTTCAGTAGTTGCTATAACAAAATAATTCATATCTGGTAAAACACACATACATGTTATCCATAATGGAAGAGTTCTATGCAGACAAAAAAATTACTGAAAATGAATATTTTGTTTGATAATCTACTGTTTTCTTTGTTCAATTGATTGAATTTTTGATTCTCGAATAAGTTTTAATGTTAATGACCAATGTGATACAATACCATTACGTGTTATGGATATATATCGTCCATATGTATAATCAATTTGATCGAGAATTATACCCGCTCGTGATATTCCAGGAAAGAATTGAAACTATTTGAAAAAATGAATAGAAGAAAAAAAAGGGAAAGTTTAGGTTTCTTTACATCAATATAAACATCAAGTGATAGATTTTTTAATGTAAATTCTTTTGGATTATTTGGATAAGGCATTGGTTTTGACATATCATACATAATTTCTCTTTCTTGATGTTCAAATAAAATATATGTTAAATATTCTGAAAGATCAACTTCTCCATCACAATTTGTATCTAATTTATAAGATTGTACAAATTTTTATTTATTTTGTTATAAATCTTTATCTACCTATCTAATATTAAAACAATAGTATAGAAGTTTATTTTTTAGTTAAAACAATATTTATACTTTCATAAATATGATTTGTGCTTCACGATCAGTGATATCAGAATAGGTTTGTCGCATAAATGCAGTAAATTCACTAACATCCAAATAGCCTGTATTATCAGTATCAGCTTCCATGAATGATTTACGAACTTTTTCAACAAATTCAAAAGTTACCCTAAAATAATTTGTTGAATTTTGAACAATGAAACTTCATAGTGATAGGAATATCTGTTCTTAAAAATAACGATTTCTTATAATGAGAAAACTTTACTGTGAGTTTTCTAAATCATGAATATAAGTTTATGGGTATGCAAAACTTGCTAACGGCGTCTGGAAACAAAACGAATCCTTATCCACAAGCTCGTGTGCATCTTTTAGGGTTCTGAGTTTATAAATAGTTGGAATGAATTCTTCATTTATGTACTTCTCTATCAAAATAATGTATGAATCTTATGCTTCGTCCTGCATAGCTGTCAATCAAATGTTTTATTCGTAAAAATGATCTTGCTTTAATCATAATTTTTCAAAGTTGAATTTATTTTCGAATCAGATATGTATTATATAGATAAAGAATTATTTACTTCTGACTATTACAAATGGTTTTCAGTAACACTCACATATCTTCGACTGTTCGTTCAAGTGAAGTTTCTGTAGTTAATGAAAGCGGAGTCATTAGAATCTTCTCTTTATTATTGACTACCCCATTGGATAAATCATTATTGATTGTCTGATTCTATAGATACAAATATATATTTATAATCAATAGGTTAAAAAGTAATAGCAAACTTTATGTGTTTCATTTCGTAAATATTTAAGGTATTGATCAACAGCATGAATAAGTAATCGATTTTGTAAACGAACACTAATTTGAGCATTATGTAATGTTTGTAAGGCTTTATATGGTTTATTAGAAAGATTTTTAACAGACTATATAAAACAATATAATAACGATACTGTAAACAACATAGGTGCCATACATACTCTTGGTGAAAGAAGATCATCGTGATGAATCATTGTATTAACAGTAATAGAAGAAGTATTTAATTTTTTCAACTATTCTAAGCGCCAAATTGATATATTTTTTTGCTTCAGTCTCAGAAGATAAAAATTAATTGTAAAAAATTGTTTCATATATACGTACTAGATTAGCATCCCTCTATCATTTACTTTTT